CCACAGATTTGACAAAGTTATTACAGGGCGAACAAGGATGAAGAAGTTTGTTTTCTTTGTTTCAAGTTAGGATAGGTCCATGAACGCAGTTTATCATTTTTCAATATTTTCAAAGCATTCAAACTTGGTCAGTACTTCTTAACATCATATTTTGGTGTTGAAGGACATCATGAAATCTTCAGAAAGTGTGACAATGTGGTTCAATTATGTATATTGAGGTTTTTTCGTGTATGCTTTATTAGGATGGCAGTAACCAAGACCTGGTTTAAACCACACTTCAACATTGATAAGAATATAAGATCTACCTACTCCTTCAAACTCTGAACTAAACTTGTCAACTTGACAAACATGTTCATGTCAATTTCAGATGTCAATAAACTAACTCAAAATTCCATTTGAATACCACAGAGTGAACTGATAAAACCTTCAACTGAGTTCACTACTCAAAGAGTTTATAATCAATCGCACCCCAGTATAAAGACACTTCAACATTGATAATAATATAATATCTACCTACTCCTTTATACTCTGAACTAAACTTGTCAACTTGACAAACATGTTCATGTCAATCTCAGATGTCAATAAAGTAACTTAAAATTACATTCGAAAACCACAGAGCAAACTGATAAAACCTTCAACTGAGTTTACTCTACTCAAAGAGTTAATAATCAAATGCACGCCAGTACAAAGACAATTTGGTTTGAACTTGACAATTATCTGATGGTAGTGATGATGACAGTGGTTGTCAAAGTATTGAAGTGTGTTGATTGAAAGTAAGGTGCATATTTATTGGTTATTGGGAAAGCTAGGTATCACAAATGCCTGGTAGGTATGGTTGGAATAGGTGTGTATCAATCAATGAAAAAGAGCCGGAAAACTCAACTACAATGCCCTATATCTGAATAATGAGGCCTGTTCGTTTGAGCTTACTCTACCTGCTGAACTTGATTTTTTTCTATGACTTTATCTGTCTGATGTGCCAATTGACCCCCCTTCCCATTTGGGATTCTAAGAATAACATCTACCCCTCCCAGGGGTAGAACGGAGAGGGCTGAATCTAATAATTTCAAGTGTACCCCTTGCGAATCAAATTGACCTGTTTTTTTTATTTCTCATATTATTCACAGAAAGGGAGATATTGAGGGTGGGAGGTTTTCAATATTTCACCCTGTATACAGATTCTGGAGAAATGGAATGGAAATTTGATATGACAATGAAAATTGTTTTGTATGGAGAATATTTCCACGAATTAGTTACTATTATTTATATATCCAGGAAAAAACATGAGGATCGTTATAAAAATTTCCCAACTTCAAAATTTTGGTTGACCTAGAGATTTTCCTGTACAAGTTACAAAGATGGAACTTCATATCTGTATTCGATGTGTTCCTCCATTGATTGACTACTTCACCGGTTATATCAACTCCTGAGAATTTGATACAGGGGGAATCGAAAAATCAAAAATATCAAAATTCGCCATTGAATAACTAACACTATATATGAGATATTGCGTTCAAATTTTGTATGGAGGTATTTCAGCTATGCTTGAATCGAATAGGTTAGTCACTATTTCGAAAAAAAAATGCCTAATAGTCGTTATTGTAATTTTGACCCTCTCAACGAACACCAAAGTGGCCCTTGAAAATCTTAATATTTCAGATTTACCTACATTTTCGAATATAGCTCGTTGAGTACTATATTATGGAATTTGTGGAACAGAACAGTACATCCCATTTCAGTACTTGTATCAAACGTACAAGCATGCAAACTTTCTGGATATCATTCTGCAGCAATTTTTCTAGATATAAACAAGGCCTTTGACAGTGTATGGCATAAGGGAATGCTCTACAAACTATCTATGTTGGACTGCCCCAAATATATGATACATCTAGTAAAAGACTACCTACAAAGAAGATCCCTACAAGTGAAAGTACTGCATCACCTTTCAACCGTCTTCCAGCCACAACAGCGACTCCCACAGGGCTCACCCCTATCACCATTTCTGTTCAACATCTACTGCCAGGACGTATTTGTCCAGAACATTCCAAACCATCAGGAACGATTCACATCGCCCTATGGAATTCAATTCGCTGGGAACGATTCACATCGCCCTATGGAATTCAATTCGCTGCCGACACTGCCATAATTAGCCACAACAAAACACTTGAGAAAACTGTCAGAAAGTTTCAAGAAGCAATCGAGGATACTATGTGACAATTGGAGACTGAAGCCAAACCCAGAAAAATCCCAACTGATAATATTCAACCATATTATCTCCAATAATTCACCTTCAATCAGTGTGAATGATCATATAGTGAGAACGAGCACAGTAGCCAGTACTTAGGAGTTCACTTGGACCCGAAATTGAACTTCAATCATAATCCCACTCTAAACTCATGAAAAAAAAAGTGTATCACAAGAGCCAAACATTTTCGGAACTCAACATATAAGAAGAGAGGAATTAGCAGAAAAACAGCAGCTCACATTTACAAAGCCATATGCCGCCCCATACTCGAATATGCTCACCCAATTTACATCAACACCAAAAAGCCACCCATGCAGAAAGATCTAGCCTAAGAGCAATCACGAAAATATGACATTCTCAAAACCCCCTTCACAACCCTCCAAATGAACTCCTCTACCAACTCACTAATGTACAACCAATTAGCGAGAGGCTGGAAAAACTAGCACAGAAGTTTTCCAACAATGAAAGTAACCTGCAGATCATTCAAACCCAGTGCATCCAAAGACACCCTACAGAGACCTCAAGTCACAATTTTCCAGTAAACACCTTGGTGGAATGCATCACCAACATTGCAGAAATGCCAAGAAATTAAGAAATTGATCAATCCTGAACACTTTCCTTCTTTCTTTTTTCTTTACTCACATCAAACAATAATTCACATAAATATGATTATATTTTATTATTCAATCAATGAAATGAAATACAATAGATTATGGCTGGCTGAAGGACCTGGGTCGATGGCCATTTGGTTTTAACCAATAAAGAACATTTATTATTATTATTACAATAGATTTCAATGTATTACAGGCTGAAGGACTTTGGTAGGTGGCCAATTGGGTAACCAATAAAGCACTATTATTATTATTATTATTTAGTAAGTCCCGCTAACGCTACCGTTTGTGAACTAAATATTTTTTAGATGAGATGAGACAAATTCATATTGTATTGTGACCCCAAGTGAATGAATAACCTTGAGGAGACATTTTTTCTGACACTTTCAATAGAAAAAAACGAGGGCACCATCAATTTATGAATGTCATTTAGCAATATGTTACCAATAATTATTATTATCCCAAAACTTTCAGAAAGCACAGCAAAAATTTTAATTATGTACAATTGATGCTAATTATTTTGCATTCCGGTCAGTCAGGCAAACTCTAGAATGGAAGGTCAAGAATGTTGATAAAAAGATATGGACACAATTATAACTCATGAACAAACTGTCATGAACTTTCCTGATCTCCCATGAACTTTCCTGATCTCCCTTGAACTTCACAGCACTTCATAGAACATCCTCAAACTTTATCCAGCATCCTCAAACTTTATGGAACATCCTCAAACTTCTTCAAACTTCCCAAATTTTCTGGAACTTCACATACTTCCTTGAACTTCCCAGATTTCCTCGAACTTCCCCAATCTTCCTAAAACTTCTTCAAACTTCATCTAAAATCCTCCAACTTCCTGAAATTCCTCAAAATTCCTCAAACTTCCAACTGCCCAATTTTGCATAAACCTCCTCAAACTTTCCTGGACTTCCTGGATCTTACTCAAACTTCCTTGAACCTCCTAAAGTTTCCTGGAACTTCCTCAATGTGCCTCACAATTCCTCAAATTTCCTCAAACTTCCCTGAACTCCTCAAACTAGCAAAACATCTGTCAATTTTTATAGAAATTTGATCAGAAGTTCATTTAATCACCAGATTCCATAACACTCTTCAATTTACTATTCAATAAGCACCTTCTACCTTCTTGAATACTTTTGATATTTTGTTTGGTTTGCAATATATTTGATAAAATGTAATTTTACACAAATGAAATGATCCTCTGATACCATCTGAAATAATTATCAAATTCTTGTAAGTTTATTATGTTAATTAGAAAGAGATAAATACCTATAGTGTCTCCATTGAATTTGTTAACAAGTCCTGTAAATATGCCATTACTAAATGAAGTTGTGGAGTTACTACATAAAATGTTATCTTTTCTTGAAAGCACATTCATGACTATTGTCCAATATTTAATGAAGCATGAAGCTGGAAATGAGGTTGATTTTTGTAAATTTGTAAATTTGTATATTGCTACTTCAAAGTTGGGAACCAACTCCCCAGAAGTCGAAACTTGTGCGGGGTTAGGAAGAGCGGGACCTACAGCTTATAGTGGAACCGAACCACTTCTAGGGCATCGAGGTGCTGCCAGGATTACAACCATGAATCACACATTTTAAAGAAAAATGCTCAGCCAATAGCCGGATTCGAACCAACAGTACCTCTGCATTGTGAACGGCTATCTAGTGAATTTCAGCACATAGACAAACTTGGCCAGGGAGCCTGGATATTCTAGTTGTTAGTAAATACATGACATTCTACCTTGCATTATACCTCACATTCAACCCTCAGAATCTAAATCACCAACCATAGACCTACATTACTTATATTGGAGCTGAAATATTAAATGAACCTATGTGGGAGGGTGGTAGGCTGGGTGGTAGGGCTGGGAATATCATGTTTTCCTCTGCTTTTTCAGTCTATGAGAGATGATTATTTCGTTACTTCTATCCACATTTGAGTAAGCGGTTATCTCGCCGGTTATAGAATACATTAGGGTTAGCTTCTTCCATAGAACAATAGCTTCACTGATTTATAAATTGATTTCAACAAAATTACAGTCATTGTAAAAAAAACGGCTGCTTAGGTGATATGCTTTTTCATAATTAGTTTACAACGTCTCAAGAAAAGTATAGTCAAAAAGTACTCACATCATCAGGTCCTGAGTCTGAATCAGAGTCTTCCTCCTTCCTTGATTTGTTTTTAGGCATATTGTTACCCAAATTCAACTAATCTGATTAGATTGATGACGACTAATACGTTAGAATCAAAGATCTGCTCACTACTAGAAATAAATAATAATTAAAAAATTTATATTATTATATTATTATTAATAACTTTATTCACCTCCAGCGACTATTTTTTCTCAAAAGTCGTTGGTCGTTGAAGTAGAAATACAGTGATTACAGTGTTGCCGTTAGCTGTGTGAAAATGGCAGCCAAAGATAGCAGCCAAAATCTCCGAACATTGCCAAAGACCCAGTGGCGGACAACATGATTTTTTTTTCATGCCTTCGACAATGACGGCTGAATATCAAGTTAGCTGCCGAATATGTCATGACTGCCCAATCACTAAGTTCAGTGTATGATTGCTGGGATGGCAGCACATACGGGTGATCTCAAAGATTTCATTTGTTTTTGAGAATTTTTTCAAATTATCGGTTATGTATCTCATGAAATGTCAAAACATTTTGTCATTTGCCTTTCACTGCTGAGCTAATCTTGTAATTTCATTGATATTTTTTATTTTGCATTTTTTTTTCGTATTATTATAATTTTGGTTGGTTTGTGTGAGAAATTGAACATCACATTGGAGAGTTTTGATATTTCTATTATTGGGATAAATCAATTTGAGTCTAACATAAGTCATCGGTGTTCCGTAAAAATACAATCACTTCAAAATGCATTTGAGAGTGACGTGTCTTGTCTGGTGGTGCCGGAGATGAGTGAATCAATGCCTAGTCAGAATTTGAATATTTCTCATATAGTACCCCAAAAAGTGGACTGTATAAACTTTATATTTTTCAACACCTTATGAAGAAAAGACCAAACTACTTTTCCTTTTAACTATATTCCCAATAAAAATAACAATAAAACCAAATACCAATACATAAGCGACGGTACACCAAACTCCGTCGTCTTACGTTTACTTCTTCCCAACCACTAGCCCTTCAAGACTCTTAAGAAGTAAAATCTAAGGGTCCATCTGATGTCTCTAAAAACAGTGGTGTCACATTTAACTTGATATAATGTCTCTGTGTCGTTCCTAACATACCCCCCACCTTGAAAGAATGTCTTTCAACCCACTTTACAAACTATAAACATCACAATATACAAAAATATCTTTTTTACATATATACAATCTAATTATCTGAACCATTGTCTATAGGGAGAGGACATAGGTATCTTAGAAATTGCCCTCTTGATTTCACCACGGCTAGTTTTGATTTTGGCCACGCGCGTTTTTTTATCAGGTCCAAAATACACAGTGACTATACGGCCAAGTCTCCATTGCATAGGAGGAAGATTGTCTTCGCGCACAATCACCAGTTGCCCAATTTTCAAATTCTCTGTTGCATTAGTCCATTTATTCCTATTTTGTAGTTCCGTTACATATTCTTTCGACCACCGAGTCCAAAAGTGTTGTGATAACATTTGAATGTGCTGATACTTAGAAAGACGATTTTCCGGAACGTCTTTCAGATTCGGATCTGGTATGGAAGTGAGCCAATAAGAAAGTGTGATGGGGTTAGAACGTCCATATCATCAGGTGATGAGGAAATAGTGACCAATGGACGAGAATTTAACACCGCCTCCACTTGTGTGAGCAGTGTGTGAAATTGCTCAAACGTCAATGATGAATTGTTTATCACCCTTTTTAAATGAAATTTGCATGACTTAACCCCTGCTTCCCATAACCCCCCCGAAATTTGGTGAATTTGCAAGAATGAATTTCCAGTTTATGCTTTCATTTGAACATACCAATTCCAATGACTCACTTTCATTTTTAAAAAATTTACCTAGTGTATCTTATTCTTTAGTAGCTCCAATAAATGTTGACCCATTGTCTGAATAAATTGTGTTGGGTTTACCCCTACGAGATACAAATCTCCTCAATGTTCCAATAAAAGCCTCAGTTGACAAACTTGTTACCAATTCCAAGTGTATTGCTTTGGTGGAGAAACACACAAACAAACACACATAACATTTTACCACCTTTGACCCCCGACCAAGTCTATCTTTAATTTGAAATGGACCGGCATAATCCACGCCTGTTGTAAAAAACGGAGGCATTGCTCGGACTCGCATTTCTGGAAGTACCCCCATAATTCGATTTGCTCCTTTAGGATTCACTCTGAAACATTTGATACACCTAAAAACCACTTTTCGCGCCAAATTTCTGCCTCCAATAGGCCAATAATTCTCTCGTATTGAGCTCAGCAAAAGCTGCGGACCAGCATGAAGAAGTCGCTTATGCTCAGCTTCAAATATCAGTACGGTTAAATGATGGTTTGATAATAATAATATAGGGTGTTTTTTCGCATAATCCAATTCGGAGAGGTGAAGCCGTCCTCCGACTCTCAACAAACCTGCTTCATCAATAAAAGGACTCAATTGGGTAAAGCCTTTAGACTTAATTTGTTTGTTATTTATTAGATTAGAAATTCCTGAGAGAACGATTCTTTCTGAGACCATTTTATCAAAATCCGTGAAGAACTATCCAACTCCGCGACTGTTAAGCAGCCACTCAAACGATTTCTAGGATTTTTACAATTATTAATAAATCGAAGACAATAACTTGTTACTCGTTTCAATCTACCAAAATCTGAAAATCGATCAAACGGAAAAGAAACCATATTTTTCTGAACTTGACTAATCAATACCTTCTTTCTCGTGTCAGGAATTTCCTCCATTTTTTGATATTTTGGATCTGGCCATGATTCTCGAGCACAAGAAAGCCACGATGGTCCTTGCCACCACATTTTATTCCTCCTGATCCTATCAGGTGATACACCACGCGATAATAAATCTGCAGGATTATCCTCAGATCTCACATGAAACCACTCCTCCGGATTACACAAGTTTTGAATTTGTGAAACCCGATTCCCAACGAATGTTTGTAAACCACTAGGTGACACTGATAACCAATTCAGGACGACTGTAGAATCTGTCCAAAACATCGTAGTTGAGAACTCCAACTTCATAGATTCCTTGACTTTTACCAATAATTTTGCAAGTACTAAGGCTCCACATAGCTCCAGCCTGGGAACTGTTATAGTTTTCAAAGGTGACACTTTGACCTTAGCACACACCAACTGCACTTTGATTCCTCCATTTTTCCCGATACTACGAATATATACACATGCACCATATGCATCAAGAGATGTGTCACAGAAACCATGGATCTCTACTTCCACTGGTTCCTTACCAATAACATGTCGTGGAATCTGCATCTCATTCAAATTCGAAAACTGTTCACGTAACCTATACCATTCTGTATGTAAATCAGATGGTGGAGTTTCATCCCAATGCAGCTTGATAGACCACAGCTTCTGCATTAAAATTTTAACCAAGATAACACATGGCCCTAATAGCCCTAACGGGTCGAATACTTTTGAAATGTCAGATAATACCTACTGACCGCTTTGTTACTGGTGATTCTGAAAAATCAATACTGTACATCAAGACATCGATTCCAAATGACCAATATAAACCCAACGTTTTGTTTGTATCCTTTTCACCAAAATGGAATGTATCCACACCACAATCATGTGACCTCATTTTCTTAAGAACTTCAAAATCATTCGATATCCACTTCCTCAATTCAAAACACCCTGATGCTAAGATAGATGACACTTGTTTGCATAACAAAATAGCATTTTCAGCATTGTCTGCACCAGACAACATGTCATCTACATAAAAATCGTGTAATATCACTTCTGAAGCCCTAGGAAATTCATCTATATGATCCAAACCAAGTTGTTTCAAGCATCTTATTGCTAAGAAAGGTGCTGACTTCGTACCATAACTCACAGTGTTCAGAGTGTATTCTCCGATGTTTTCATCAGGGTCAGATCTCCAAAATATTTTCTGAAGTGGCCTCTGATTTTCTTCAATCAATACCATGCGATACATTTTTGCTATATCTGAGCAAACCACAACAGGATATTTCCTGAACCTCAACAATATTGACACCAAATCGTCTTGTATATTTGCTCCTTTGTACTGGATATCATTAAATGATATACCAGAATCTGTAGGAGCTGACCCATTAAACACCACTCGTAACTTCGTTGTCAGGCTTGTTTCATTCAAGACCCCATGATGCGGAAAATAGTAAGAAACTTCACCAGGTTTGAAGTTAGATTCAACCAATGACATATGCCCTAAACTCTTATACTCCTCCATAAAATCTATATACATTTTTCTCATCGTTGGATTTTTCGCCAATTTATATACTTTCCAATGCTAAATATCTTCTGAATGCGTATTCTCTGGAATCACCCAACTTAGAAGGAGAATCTAACAAAGGAATTTGCACCATTTCACAACGTGTCGTCGTTTCCACAAATATTTTCTCACAAATCTTGTCATCATCAGACATGATGCAATTCAATGATGGAGGTTCCTCCAGAGCCCAAAATTTTGCCAACTGATCATGAATATCCACGTTCAAATTCAAATTACACCGAACTCTCTGTTTTGGCACTGACATAAGTGAACCTGATACGACCCATCCCAAACGTGTTTTTTGTAGCACTGGCTGATGTCTACCCAAATTAATTTGCCCAATGCAAAGCAAGTGATAAAAGATATCAGCTCCAAGTAGCAAGTCAATTTGACTTTGCTTATAAAAACCAGGATCAGCAAGAACCAAATGTTTGGTATATCCAATATCTGTACCAAACAAAACCTACGCAAGCAAAACTAATAATGAATTTGCAATAAATCATTCACGAGCACCAATGAAAAACTTAGAGTTTTGAAGTTTCAAAAGTACAAAATAAACAAGTAACACAAACAGGTTTAACGAGTTAGTCAAGGATAAGGCAGAGTAAATTTTTGTCTTGAAGATGAATTTACTAACGCTGCCGTTGACTGACCCTGTACGTACCAAAATAAATTCAAAATAACAATTGCTGAAAATGCCTTCCACCACGTTCAATTATTACACCTACGTAGCATATTTAAATTGACGTCAGTGAAAACATCAGGCATGGTTTGGATCATTTCAGCCGCAACAGAAATCCTAGCCATCAAATCTTCCTCCGACTGAACTGGAGTTTCATATACAAGACTTTTCATATGTCCCCAAAGAAAGAAATCCATAGGAGTTAAATCTGGGGACCGGGCTGGCCAGTTGACATCGCTTCCACGTCCAATCCA